TATTAATGCATGCGTCTCATGGTTAAAAGTCTAAAGGGGATTAATTATATTGTTTAAACCAATAAACCACTTGTATTGAGGTTCAATCTAAATCAATTTCATCTTAAGTTTTATTGCTACTATCTGGTCAATATACGGCGCATATTTTATATTGGCTTGATATTAAGTTCTATTAATGAATGCGTCTCGTTATTAATATCTAGCCTCGATGAGTTGAAAATACTCCATGATTGAGTATTCGAGAGGAAAAAGGTTAAAGATATAACCGAGATCGACAAGCTTTTCATTAAGTGGAAATAAGCAAAACCAAGTCTCAATCTCTATTTGATTAGACCACATAAGTTGTTCATTTTAGTGTTAAATTAATTAAATCAAATCAATCTTAAAACCTTCCTTTGTTACAATTTAATTAAAAAAAGATATTCCTTCCCCTGTGGATACGATCCTTATTTCATTATGCTACATATAAGCGTTGTATTGAATATTATATTGAGGCTCACAATGATTTTAGTGCCGTCAGCCGTCTTCTCCGGTCGCTGGAAAAGAATGTCAAGTTGAAAAAATCTTACCGTGATGGCAATTTTGAGAAGAAAGTTGGATATTTTTAAACAGTAAAAATGTCACTTTCACGACATTTTGAGTGGAATGTGACATTTTTTTTACACAAAATGACATTTTTCCGAGGAGTGGTGCTGGGAGGTGGAAGACGCGGTGACAATGTCCTACATATTTTTTAAATATTTTTAGGCATTTTATTTTCTAGACCTTTTTAAAGTTTTTCAAACATTTTTTTATTTTCTATTTTATTTTTCACGTTTTTTGTTAATAATTTATAAATATTTTATTATTTTTATATTTTCATTACAAATAAAACTATGATTTTGTTATTAATAAAAGGGGAAAATAATTAAAATACCCCAAACATTGAAGGGGCGTAAGATGAACACACCCGAAACTTGCATATGTATATTAAATACCCCAAACTTTATATAAAAAGTAATTTTGTCACCATAATCCAATATTATTTTTTCAAAAATGTAAATTTATGGTGTTAATTGCATAATATAAAAATATTTTAGAATTCATGAAGACACAAATAACATTATAAACTTCCATTGCGAAATAAACAATGTTACACCCAATCTATATAATTGCAACACTTTTAATTTTTTTATTTTAAATTATGCAATTAACCCCATAAGCTTACATTTTTGAAAGAAATAATATATGGCAATGGTGCGGAAATAACTTTTTATATAAAGTTTGGGGTATTTAAATTACATGCGCAAATTTGGGGTGTTTACTTCACACCACATCAAAGTTTGTGGTATTTTTATTATTTTTCCCTTAATAAAATAAATCTATTATAATTTATAGGAAGGAGGCCGGTATAATGTGAAGAAGAGACATATATTAGTCATATTTTGGGAATTATGACTTTTGGATGGATTTCTTCGGCATTCCATCTCTTCGTTTGGTTTAATTTCTATGCTAGTGTTGTTTTATTTTTGTTTGGTTTTTCTTTCAATTGGGTCAGGCCTAGCCCCCCCCCCCCCCCCCCCCCCCCAATTGCTGTCTTTCTTATGCTTGCTTTTGTGATATGTATTTTGAAGAAGAATGCTTCTTCTGGAGAGGTTTTGACCTAGTCCCCCTCTCTTTTTGTACTATTCTGTTTATCTAATAAAACTCGGCAAATGTTCCCCGACATTTGCCCAATGATTTTGGTGGTTTGCCTTGCGGGTTAAAAAAACAAATTATTCCCGAAATATTGTCGGGTTTAAGAATAATTCCTAAAATACTGCTGGAATTAACCACGGTTAAGGAAAGTCGCCACTCCAAGCGGCGGCTCTTTTATTACTTCACAAAAGCCGCCACTCCGAGTGACAACTCTTCTCTTATAGTACAAAAGCCGCCACTTCAAGTGGCGGCTCTTCTCTCACGTCCCATTTCGTACAGATATAAAACGCAGTATGTTTCAAAAATTTGTTTAACTGTCTTCCCGATTGAATTTTGAGCTGAATTTGGTATGCATAAACTAGATTTGATGAGGAAGATGCTCAAAAAATTTCATCAAAAAACTCTACCGGAAACACCCTCTGATGGTGTTGTCCGCGGGGGGCTCCGGTCAGGACGTCATGACAAAAGGGTGGTCCGGCTACCTCAATTTGAGGTTGTTCCCGGTGGTATATTTTGATGATTTTTTTTGTGTATGTTCTTAATAACGTCTAGTTCAGTCATACCAAATTTGAGCAAAACATTCAACCCGAAAGGCCATCAAATGATTTTTTAAAGATAACTACGCCGGATTATTCATATAAAACGCAGCTATCTTTAAAAAATCATTTGACTGCTTTCCCGATTGAGATTGGTTCTGAAATTTGATATGGATTAACTAGACTTGATGAGTAACATACACAAAAAAAATTCAGCAAAACATCCCACCGGGAATCACCTCAAATTGAGGTGGCCGGACCACCCTTTTGTCATGACGTCCTGATCGAAACTCCCCGCGGACAACACCATCAGAGGGTGTTTCCGGTGGAATTTTTTGATGAACGTTTTTGAACATGTTCCTTATCAAGTCTAGTTTATGCATACCAAATTTCAGATCAAAACTCAATCGGGAAGACAGTTAAAAAATTCATGAAACATACTGCGTTTTATATATGTACCAAATGGGACGTAAGAGAAGAGCCGCCACTTGAAGTGGCGGATTTTGTACTATAAGAGAAGAGCCGGCACTCGTAGTGGCGGTTTTTGTGAATTAATACAAGAGCCGTCACTTGGAGTGGCGACTTTCCTTAACCGTGGTTAATTCAACAGTATTTTGGGAATTATTATTAATCCGACAATATTTCGGGAATAATTTATTTAATTAGCATTATTCCGGAAAAAACTCGATTATTATTGTCCATTTTTCATTTGGATTTTTGTCATCGATTAACCATGAATCAGACCATATAATATATGTAAGGGGGTGTTTGAATCCACTTCTACTCCTTCGAGGAGCAGAAACAAATATTGAAGGGAAAATGGTCAAATAAGACCTTTTACTATTACAGAATCGTCACATAATATCATGAAATAATGGCATAGCTATTACCTATAAGGTTTTACAAGACAACAATATGACCGATTTAAAATTTGACAAAAAAGTGAGTTGACCTTTCTAATAATCCTCCTGGGAAGGATCGAGATGTCTTCTCCAGCTCTTCTTCCTTCGATCGTCACCTCCTCGCACCAAGACATCCATGGAGGCTAATCAGGCTATCAACAAGCTTCTTGCATTAGGCCGTCCTTGCTTCTTACCTTCATCATCGACCATGAGTCTACCAACGCGACGCCATCGAAGCTGACGGAGACCATCGGTGCGACGTCATCGAAGAAGATGGAGACCATCGGTACGACAGCGACGGTCAGCGACGACCTTCTGCGACGGCGACGTCAGCTTTATCTTCTTCTTCGCTGCTTCTCTTCAGTGTCTATGTTCATTAGCTTCAGATCTATAATGGATTTCAGATCTGTGATAGCTAATTGTCCTGAAATGGGGAAGCAGTGTTTTCTATCGGGGCTAAGGTGAGTTTCAGGTGGGATAAGGGGCTGGGGCGAGGAGGGTGGTTGTTGTTCGGGCAAAGATGTGGTGCTGGGGGCAGATCCGGTTGTGGCCGGCGCTGGGCAGGTACACTGTACGCATTAGGACGGGAATGGTGAGCCGTGGAGGGGAGCAGGGTGCTGGTTGAACATTTTGACGGAAATCAGTTGGAGCAATGGTGTTGGGTTCGTGGTGTTGGGTGCTGGGTTGGGGTGTTTTCCGGTGGTGGGGCGTTCTGATGGGAGAGGGCAGTGGAAGTGGTCTGTGTATGGGAGAGGCAGTGATGGTGTCCGGAATAGCCATGGTCAAAATAATTGTGTGTCACTACAGAGATGTAACTGCGGTGGTCGGTGGTGGGGGTGTCACTACGGCGATGTCACCGTGACCAGAGGTTGGGGCGCAGATGTCGTTGCGGGGATGTCACTGCGGAGGTGTCACTATACCTGGTGGCGGTTTTCAGGCGGCGGCGGTCACCGGTGGGAAGAAGTTGTGGATGTCACTGTGTATTTGTCACTGTAGCGTGTCACTGTGTTTTGCGGCGGCGGCATTGTGGCGGCGTCACTATGACGATGTCACTGTGGCGGCGGCAGCGGCGGTGTAATTGGCGTGAAAATTTTGACTTTGACAACTCTCGGTGACAAGAAAAATGAACACAGTGACATAATTTGTTTGCAGTGACATCATGTTTTCTAATCCCAAACATGTGACCTTGTTAATCACTTTTTTGTCAATTTTTAAAAGTACTCACATTTTTGGAAATTCAGTCCAATTTAATAATATCAAGGGAATAACTCCTGCACTCAATAAAATATCATATAAATACGTCTACTTATAAAAACCAACCGGATGAGTCAAAACGATCCGTTGAAAACCTCGTAATTCCGATTTTAGCATACGTCTGGCTATATTTTTGAAATAGATTATAAGGCCGACATGAAGCATTTGTCACGATTGACTTAAATACAAGGCAAAAATAACTACACGTAAGCTAAATCGGGATTAGAAGGTTGTTAACGGGTCGTTTTGACTCATCCGATTGCTTTTTATAAGTAGACGTATATTTATATGACACTTTATTGAGTACGTGATCTTATACGGCGATTCTATAATAGCAGAAGACCTTATTTGACTTTTTTCTCAATATTGAAGTGTTTGAGGGAAAATGTAAAAATACACGAATGCTCCAAAATGTTTTAGAAATAGTTTTTAGAAGCAGATCAGAATCAAATCAAACACCCTAAGGAGTGTTTGTGAAATTAAAAAAAAAACAGTTTTTAGCTTTTGGCTTTAAAAAAACTGAAATTGACATTTTTAAGTGACAATTTTTGCTTAAACTAATCACTTAAAAGCTAAAAGGCACTTACTTTATCCAACTCTAGGTTTATTTACTATTAAAGGCTTTTTACAAAGGAAGTCTAAGCACGAAAAAGTGCGATCTTAGTCTCTATCTGCTGTACGTATCCCTGCCGTAACCGATGCACTTGTGATGGCAAGAGCAGTACACAGAGAAGCAAAATGAGATTCACTTTTGACCTAGGAGAAACAGACTCCGACACTGAAAATCGTCAATCTATAACCCCGCCGTCAAACACCACTCCTAAAGAAGAATCACAGTGGATACCTTTGCAAAACCACCCTGTATTCACCACCGCAGATGTTGCCGCCCAAACATTCAAGAGCTTCAAAATGCCAAAAAACCTTCTGGCATGGGACGGAGCATCTAGACTCTACTATTGGGACCCTTTCAAACGCTGTCTTCACAGAATCTCCATTCGGTTGGGTGAGCCAGACTCAAGTGTCATCCTTGCCTCTTCTCTATCTAAGGTCCTCCTTGCTCTAATACGTAATACGTCACAATACTTGTACTATCTTCATATATACAATTGTTGGTACTTTTTTTTTAAATATTTGCTTGCAGGTGTTGCAAGCAGATGTGCAAATACATTTTGAGGTTGACAAGATTTCTATTAATAGAAATGGGTCAGCCATATTCTTAGTTGGCATAGAGGGTTTGTGCATCATGTATCTTTATGGTCGGACTTCAACTACCAAAGAGCACACAATTACTTGCAGGTATATTTCTCATAGTGTGAACTAGTTTTGAACAAATTAGTTGGGATAAAGCTCATCATTTTGAATCTATGATCAGTGGCTTAGCTAGAGGGGGAATCTAGGGTGGGCCGGATAAAAAATTCATCCATATAAATTTTCATACCGATTTTTTACAGTAAAATTAAAGGTTTTTGCCAAAATTGGGGTGGGTCAGAGCTCGAGTTGGCTTCTTGGCTCTGCCCATGCCTATGATGATGATATACCCATTACCCAGTGGCAAAGCCAGCTCGGGGGTTGTTGGAGGGGCACATACTGGGAAAGGGAAGGTATGTGACAACTTGGCAAGGCGGGTGGCTAGCCCCGCCCCTAGAATTCCGATACCCGGAAAGGCTGGCGGTGGCAAGAGAAAGTGCCGAAGAGGCTGTGGCGCTGGATATATATACTAGTATCTATGTATTGGCGAAAGGGAACACACAATTTGCTGCGATTAGGCACAAGGAAACTACATATTGAACAATCAAACAACCTGGAAAGGCTAAAGTTTAACTAATATGAGTATAATTGTAAAAATAGCATTAAAGCAAATAAAATCAACACATTCACAATTACAATACAATTAACAATTTATTAAATGAGAATAATAATGAATAAATGACACAACAGAGAATAATAGACTTGCACAAAATATTACTCCCTTCGTCCCTAATAACTTTGACAAGTTTGACCGGCACGGGGAATAATAAAGTAAAAACCGTGTGGTTAAGGTTTGTGCAGAGGGGAGAGAATGAGTTGGAACCACAAATTCTTTATTTAAAAGGGAAAGTGTCAAAGTTAGTGGGACATCCAAAAAAGGAAAGTTGTCAAAGTTTTAAGGGACAGAGGGAGTAACAAATTGTAAATTTGGATTAGTAATGAATAAACTCCACAATAAGCTTGCACACATAATTAACAATTTCAGAAATGAAAATAATGATAAATAAACTACACAATAAACTAAAAACTTACACAAAATGGGAATGGGAAGGGCGGCAAGTCTGACAGAGAGAGGAATGATCCTAGAGGAATGATCCTGTGAGTAATTCTCCAGCTCGACAGGATCCGCTGAACTCCATTTGAGGCGCTTCCGGATTGAACTTTTTGATGGAATTTTGAGAGCATATTCTTTATGAAGTGTAGATTCTGTCAACTAAATTTCACTTTGAAATTCAATTGGGCAGCCAGTCAATAAATTATTGAAAAATGCTGCGCCAAAATATATATAAAAAACATAGTGTTTTTCAATAATTTATTTAACTGACTTCATGATTGAATTTTAGGTAGAACTTTAGTGGACATAATATATCTTTCATGAGGAACATGCTCACAAAATTTCATAAATAATTTATAATTCTACCCGGAAGCTCCTCAAATGGAGGCGGCCGGACTGCGGTTCCAGTCAGGCTGTCAGGAACACACTCACACATATATCCTTTTACGGAGTTTTACCTTTTCTATCTTATACTCCCTCCGTCCCAATAAAAACTCCTCCTTTGACTGGGCACACTAATTAAGATAGTGGGAATTGTGTAGTGGAGAGTTGTGCAGAGGAGAGAGAAATGTGTAAGAATGTGTAAGAATGGTTGTGAACCACAATTTCTTTGCAAAAAGGGAAAGAAGAGATAATTTTGGGATGGATGAAAAAAGAAAGTTTGAAAATAATATAGGGATGGAGGGAGTACTTTTTATACATTATCCTTGTTGTGTTTTTCTTATGCTATTTATCCTTTTATCCTTTTTATCTTATACTTTTTATACTTTTTATCCTATCATTTTTATCTTTACCTTTATTACCATATATTTATCTTTCTTTTATCTTTATCTTATATATTGTCTTTTTTATCTTACCTTATTTTTTTTTTATCTTTCTAATCTTTCTTATCTTGTTAGATCCGATTTCATGTGTCGGTTCATGTTAGTCAATCCCAAACTCATTTGGGACTAAGTCTTGGATGTTGTTGATGTTGTTGGCCTAGTGTTGTGAGGTATTGCTCAAGTAATAGATTTAGGCTCTATTTGATGGGCTTATTTGCCGGATAAGCAGAATAAATACCTCCTTGCTTACTTATTCCTCTGAAATGAATGTTACAAAACAGTTATTCTCTTAAAAAATTCTGTAGATTCAGTGTTTTCAGCAGAATAACTCTTGCAGAGTGTGTCCTTGTTGTAGATGTAATGCAGTTAAGACATATGAAGGGAAGAGCTGATTTTTTTCATCTGTGTGTATGCAAATCTCAACATAAACATGTATATTGATGAACATGCTGAATAACTTCTATCCCAATTTACTTCTCGCAGGACAGTTTCAGCTGGCTCAGATATTTACTTCACCGGAAAAAAATTCATACACACATTACAAATATCTTGGCACCCCTACAGTGACACTCATCTGGGAATCCTCTCTTCAGATTCAGTCTTCAGGCCTCTCTCTTTTTATTTTACAAAGAATTACTATTATTGCATCAATACAATTATTGCCAATGCTCCCTGTTTTCTATTCAATACTTTATACTACCACCGCCGCTATAACTTTGGTACATGAGAAGTGTTTTGGTTATTAAGAAAACTAGAAAAGTGGGTTTATTAGGTTTGATATTGAATTGATAAAGCAAGAATAAAGTAATAATGGTTTAGAACCACACAAACATTACCAAATTTGGTATGAAACAATCTCAGTGGGACAGATTGAAAAGGAAATATGGGACAATCTTGGCGGGACAGAGGGAGTACTATATAGTATATATAACTATATACTATGCTGATTAGAATTTAGAAAGTTATTTGGCATATATGTCATGTTCCTTTAATCGAAATTTGATGGATCCTGCCTGCTTTCTTCAGAATTTTTGACTTATCCTCAGCACTTGTACAACCCGAACAAGAGTATTATCTGCAGCCGATAGAACGTGGTACGTCTTGTGATGCTGCTGCTCTCTGTCCTGTAGATTTTTCTTTTGGAGGTGATCACCTGTGGGATAGATTTAGTGTAAGTTGATGAGGCACACGTGTCATCGTTTTCTCTTTTGGAATAATTTTTGTCATACTGCATTGCTACAAGATTACTCCCAAGAAAATTAAGGGCTTTATCAAGTGGATCATGAGGTGTTTACTTCAAGTTTCTTTCTTATCATAGTTACCTGAGTACATTACTATGACTATGTTTTTCATAGCAAGCTGATGAGTCGATTCATAACTTTAAGCTAATTAGAAATATAAAACTGATCTAAAGGATATGTTTATTTTTTTTAAATGAGGCTAAAAATGATAATTTATACAAACAACTCATTAGGTTATTTGAAAAGCTTCTCCTTGAACTTAATTACATAAGCTCAAGCTTATTCAGTAAGTGGGCTCAGCAAAAAATACTCATAAGTGGTAAAAATACTAATACCTAATTCAAGCTTTCTATAAAAATACTAACAGTTCCCTTTTAAGCTAGCTTATAGCATGCGCTCATGCCAAACGAAGCCTAAGTGGTAAAACTTATGGAACAAAAGACGATAATGTCGCATTTCACAGTTGATACATGAATAAAACTGCTTAAATGCATTCCTATCTATTGAAGGTTGAAACTTCTAACATGTTTCATGCATCCCATACCATCCAAAAATCTCGCCTCCCAATCTTCTGTAATGAATGGGAACTTCATTCTTAATTTCCTACCCTCAAGTATGTTACATTACACAATTAGTGCTTATTGATGCAGTTCGAAAATGATTTAGAATCTTATTTGTTTCTGCTGTCAAGTATGCTAATAGCATGTAGTTTGACCAATCATATATTTTTCTACAGGTTTTTGTGCTGTTTAGTGATGGCTCTATTTATGTCCTGTGTCCTGTTGTTCCTTTTGGAAGGTAATTAAAATTTTTATATACCTAAACTCATGCCTATAAATGCATAACATTTACGACTTTATGGATTATGGATATCAGGAAAAAAAGAAATAAAAATTAGAAAAAGAAAATAAAATTAGAAGTCGAGATACTCTGCATAATTTGAGAATGACTAGAAATAGTCTGGTGAATGGTGATTATTCAATTCTGCTCATATGCTTTCCATCTCTTAAGTTTTTCCTGTGACATGCCCTGTGTTTATGTTTTTTCCTGCTTGCATCCCTTTTTAATTCTTGTTTACCTGTGACATTTCTATTCTTTATTTTTTCTTTTGAGTGACATGAACTGGCATATTCTGCCATTACTTCTGTCTTTCAACTGAACACAGGGTTTATTTGGTAACAGTGTGTACAAATGGGAATCCATATTGGAATTATACAACGATGTTCATGCATTTGGATTAAAGTCTACAACTTCAAGAGCAAATACAAATTCTAATTTGGCCATTACTTGGTTAGAAGCAACATTTCCCGAATTAAGACATGTAGATGTAAAAAGTGGAAATCTTATTGCACTTCAAGCTCAACCTTATGCTTTATTTGATGCCTCAGTTGCATTGCAGGTATTTTATTATGATTGATCTCTTGTTTGTGTTTCGATCTAATTATTGTAAATTGTAATTAGTGCTCACATCAATTGCTTGGATATATGTCTTTTAGGATATTATGTGTTTATCAAGAATTTGAGATCATGTCCTTTCTTAGTTTTTGTTAGATAGATTTTGTGTTCCGCTTGGTCAAGGTACAACTTTTAAGTTACTTTCTTAAATCATGAATCCTACTACCTATGTCCCATTTAAAGTTTCCCATTGTAAAATGGCATGGTTATCTAGACATTATTTTAAATATGGTAATTGGAGTATATTTTGAGAAACCAAGCATTCCAGCCCAGCTGGTTGTGAGGTTACCGTGCCTAGTGGGAAGTCTCGAGTTCGAAACCCTCTAGGCACATAAGGGTTTGAAACTCAATGGAGTGAGTTTCAGCCCTGATTACTCCAGGCTCCCCAGACCCCCTCCTCCAGACCCCCTGGAGTAAAACAAATATATTTTGAGAAATAATTTTGATGGGTATATAATAAAATGGAGTTATTGATGATAACTGTGATGTTAAAGATGTATTATTTTTAATATTTGATGATTAAATTGTCATTTAAGAGTGTTAGTTTTTTCACAAATAGAAAATGAGAACCTTTAGGTGGGACTTCCAAAATAGGAAAGTGAGAACCTTTGAATGGGATGGAGGGAGTATTTCTTTTTAATTTTAACCTTTTAATGTAACTAAATTCTGAATATGTAATTGCATGTGACTGGCTCCTTTGAAACTTTAAATGAAAAATTGGTTTCTTTTGAGCAATTGAGACTTTTTTGGGAACAAAGTGTAGTGTTTGATGCATGACTCTTTTTTGGTGACTGAGGGAGTATCTGCATAGAAAAGAAATGGACACAGTTCCTTTATTTATTTTATTATAAAATTACATGATAATGTACTGCTTCGTTTGCTATTAATTGCATCCTTAAATTACAACAATATTGAGGTATATAGTTATTCCACCGTTTGCACATTGACAGGGACCTCTGTGCAAATTTTCTAATAACACAGAAGATCCTCAAGTTCAATCAGCTATATGTGAAGGAAGAGCTGTCAGCTTTCTTTATAATGTAGTCAGCAAAGATTCAATTCTTGTAACTGCCTGGAGTGGTGGGCAACTCCAAATAGATGCTTTAGCTGATGAAATCCATCCTGTTTGGAAAGTGGGCAGCCCGGCCCGTCTTTGCGTCGATTCCAATGATTGTATAGTGGGCCTTGCCATGATTTCCGAACTGGCACATGGTGATGATCACTCTATTTTGAAGTCTGATTTACCACCACTTTTGAGGCTGGCTATAGTGGATCTATGTCTACCTAAAAAAACCGGTTATACGATATCGATGTGTGTTGATCCTCTCAGGTCAGAAAGAATATATTGTGCCCATACTGGTGGGGTAGATTCGGTAGTGTTGCATTTCCTTCCGTTCACAAACCAGAATATTGACAAGGAAGAATTTATGAAAAGCCCGTCTGTTCATTCCGTTCTCATTACTTGCCAGGGAGAATCATCGCTCCCTTCCCCATTATGCGCTTTCTTAGCTTTGTCAGACCCGTTTGGAGACTCTTGGATTGTGGGGATTACTTGTAATTTCCAGTGCATTGTATTGGAGGCGGAAACGTGGAATGCAATGCCTCATGTTGTTGATGAGGTGTGGGGACCCACTGGACCAGGACTGTCGAAAGACACGAATGGCCAAACTATTTTAAGTAGAGAACTCTTTACTGGGCCTAAGCTTGTTCTTTTGCCGCCTTCTCCAGAAGATCTACATTGTGTTACATCAGATTCAATTGAAGGCCGGGCTACACTGCATCAGTACTTCAAGCGTTTCCATGAAAATTATGTGGAATATGCTCACAAGGTAAGATCTTTTACCCTTCAAAACAGTTGTTTATGTTCTTTTCTATGAGAGAGACCTAATGGTCTGTTTGGAACCCGGAGAAAATAGAGAGGGGGTTTGGAAGGAAATGGAATTTGGGACCAAATACAAAATACGTTCTGACTTGATAAATCAATTTTGGAACTCATTTAATTTATACTCCCTCCACCTCAGCGTAAGCTTCTCACTTGCCTTTTTTGGATGTCTGAACTAAAGCTTCTCATTTCTATCTTAGGAAATAATTAGGACTCTCAAATGACAAATTAATCATCAAATATTAAAATTAATACTCACTCCGTCCCACAATTAAAGTCACACTTTGACTTTGCGGTCTCCTAGGCGGACATCTGACCGTAATTATCTATAAATAAATACTTGTATAATCTATACTAAATTGACATTTGAATACTACTTATTAAAATGAAGCACATTTAATAATATTTTGGGATAGACTATTGTTAATTTTGAGTAATTAGTGGTCAATGTTTAACAAGTTTGACTCAAAAGTCAAAGTGTGACTTTAACTAAGAGACGGAGGTAGTACAACTTATAACATCACAGTTATCATCAATGACCTCATTATGTAATATACCCATCAAAATTATATCTCAAAATATACTCGAATTACCTTATTTAATTATTGTCTAAATAATCGTGTCATTTTTTAACGAGAAGCTTAAGCCAGGAGCCTATGACGGAGGTAGTATAATTTGGCTTATAAAAATTAAGAAATATAAATGCTTGTCAAAGCTTCATTAGGAAAACCCTCAAAAATAAAAAATAGTCGTACTTTAAAAGAAGTCTGATGTAGACGTGCTTTTATTGTTATTATTATTATTGTTGTTGTTGTTGTTATTGTTATTGTTATTGTTATTGTTATTGTTATTGTTATTGTTATTGTTATTGTTATTGTTATTGTTATTGTTATTGTTATTGTTATTGTTATTGTTATTGTTATTGTTATTGTTATTGTTATTGTTATTGTTATTGTTATTGTTATTGTTATTGTTATTGTTATTGTTATTGTTATTGTTATTGTTATTGTTATTGTTATTGTTATTGTTATTGTTATTGTTATTGTTATTGTTATTGTTATTGTTATTGTTATTGTTATTGTTATTCTTTTTCTTTTTCTTTTTCTTTTTCTTTTTCTTTTTCTTTTTCTTTTTCTTTTTCTTTTTCTTTTTCTTTTTCTTTTTCTTTTTCGTTTTCGTTTTCGTTTTCGTTTTCGTTTTCGTTTTCGTTTTCGTTTTCGTTTTCGTTTTCGTTTTCGTTTTCGTTTTCGTTTTCGTTTTCGTTTTCGTTTTCGTTTTCGTTTTCGTTTTCGTTTTCGTTTTCGTTTTCGTTTTCGTTTTCGTTTTCGTTTTCGTTTTCGTTTTCGTTTTCGTTTTCGTTTTCGTTTTCGTTTTCGTTTTCGTTTTCGTTTTCGTTTTCGTTTTCGTTTTCGTTTTCGTTTTCGTTTTCGTTTTCGTTTTCGTTTTCGTTTTCGTTTTCGTTTTCGTTTTCGTTTTCGTTTTCGTTTTCGTTTTCGTTTTCGTTTTCGTTTTCGTTTTCGTTTTCGTTTTCGTTTTCGTTTTCGTTTTCGTTTTCGTTTTCGTTTTCGTTTTCGTTTTCGTTTTCGTTTTCGTTTTCGTTTTCGTTTTCGTTTTCGTTTTCGTTTTCGTTTTCGTTTTCGTTTTCGTTTTGGTTTTGGTTTTGGTTTTGGTTTTTGTTTTTGTTTTTGTTTTTGTTTTTTTTGATTTTGTTTTTTTGAAAGTAAAGATCTTAATTAATATTAATCAAATGGTTAGCTAAAGCCGAAACAATAAAAGGAGGAAAATGAAGCCAAGACTGCGAATCAGACAAAGAACAACAACAAATGTGCAGCCTTATTCGCTGACCGCTTAACATGACAAAATGAAATATTGGGGAAAGAAGTCTCTTAAGTCTTCTCTTAACAGGCCCACCAATGAACAACTTGATCCATTTAGGATTTCAGAAATCGCCCCCGCTGCATCGGATTCTACCTCGATTGAGGCCCCGCCAAAATCTTTCCGCCAACTCAAAGCCTCTCTAATCCCGACTAACTCTGCTCCCAAAGGCAGTAATCTTCCCGGCCATACCTTGGCTGCTCCAGCAATGAATTGTCCATCGTCACCCCGAAGGCACCAGCCTAGACCGCACCTGTCCGCCCTAGTTGCCGCATCGACGTTCAATTTCCAGAAGCCGAGAACTGGTTTGCACCAAGATATCCTGCTCTGTTGCGCGGCCTGTTGTCTCCTTCCTCGTAAGACCTGCACCTGCGCCAGCCATCCACCAGCACACAGGCTCGGTTAACCTGCTGCTGCGTCGGTGAAGATTTGCCCTTCCAAACTCGCTGATTGCGCTCGTTCCATAGCGCCCAACATCCCCAGATCAACCTCTCTAGCTCCTCCGTCTTCTTTGTTTCGAATTCCTTGTTGACTTGGTCTAGGAAGAATAAATCCTCCCCAGATATCCAATGCCACTGGATGTCCTTCCAAAGTTCCTGGGCAGCAGCACAATGTCTAAAAAGATGCTCCAATGATTCAGCCTCTGCTCCACATAATCCACAAAGCTCCAAACAGTCAACTCTACGAGCCTGCAAATTTAATCGTGAAGGAAGACAACAACTACAAACCTGCCAAGAAAACATTTTAATTTTAGGTGGGAGTTTAAACTCCCACATAACAGTCCAACTCATATCAGTTTGTCCCCCCAATTCGCCCACGATTTTACGGTAGCAACTGCGAACCGAGAAATTCCCGCTTTCCTCCCATCTCCAACACAAAGAATCCTTGATTGGATTCTTTCTCAGAGGTATTGCCCGAATAATATCCGCATCTCTAGCCTCAAAAATATCCTCAATAATATCCACATCCCAATCTCTCTGATTTATATCAAACAAATTTGCCACCACCGCGTTTTGCAGCCCCTCACACTTTTCTGAAATAACCCTCGGATTTTCTCTGTCAGGAAGCCACGGTTCCTCCCAAATATTGTAATAGCCACTCTCCAGTAATAGCCATCCCGAATAATAGTCTGGGTATGAAGTAAACTACGCCAGACAAAGGACGGATTGCTACCAGGTTTAGCTTTAAGAAAATCCCCGTCGGATAGTATCTAGCTTTGTAGACTTTGCCAACCAAAGAATCAGTATTCGTGAAGATTCTCCAGGCTTGCTTGGATAACATGGCTAGATTAAAATCCCGGAGTCTTCTAAAGCCCATCCCGCTCGCTTTTTTTGGAACACAGAGAGATGCCCAATTCTTCAAGTGAATTCCACTTCCTGTCTTACCCTTCCACCAATAACCATTCATAACATGTTCAATCTCACGACAAAGGTTAACAGGCAACAAAAAGACATTCATGGAATAAGTTGGCATTGCTTGAATGACAGCCTTCAAGAGAACCTCCTTCCCAGCCTTAGATAAGAATTTATAATTCCAGTTATTAATGTGGGAAATAACTCTCTGTCTGAGATACCTTAAAATATTTTTCTTATTATGTCCTACCAACGCACGCAACCCCAAATACTTCTCATCCTCCCCAGCCAACCCAACTCCAAGCAATTCAATCAGACCCTCCCGGTGATTCGCCTCAACATTAGAGCTAAAAAATACCTTCGATTTATCAAAATTAATTACCTGGACTGAAGCGCTTTCGTAATCCGCCAACACTTCTTTAATCAAGGAAGCCTCATCATGGTTTGCTCTGAAAAAAGAAGGTTATCGTCTCCAAAAAATAAATGAGAGATCATAGGAGCCCCTCGAGCAATCGAAACCTCATGCAGACGACCAATGGATTCATATTTACAAATTAAGACACTAAGGCCTTCCGCCACAAGCAAGAATAGATAAGGGGACAAGGGGTCCCCCTGTCGTAAACCCCTCCCTAGAGTCATCAGCTCAATCACTCCATCATCAAAAGGGATGGAATAAGATACAGAAGTGACACACTCCATGATCACCCCTATCCAATTCTCATGAAAGCTAGACTCCTCATCATCCCCTCCAGGAAAGGCCATTCAACAAGGTCATAGGCCTTGCTCATATCTAACTTCAGGCCCGCCAAACCCATCTTTCCCTGGCGCCTACATTTCAAAAAATGTTGAGACTCGAAAGCCAACATAATATTATCAACAATACATCGGCCCGGAATAAAAGCACTTTGTTGTTCAGAAATGCATAAATGAAGGATATTTTTCATACGATTAGCAAACACTTTAGAGATTCAGGTTTTTCTTTCTTCGGAATAAGAACAATGTTAGTGTGATTAATAAGTTCTGGAAGCTTACCTGTCTCAAACGCCGTCCTGCAAAAGTCAACGATATCCGGACCCACCACATCCCAGAAATGCTGATAGAATCCCGTACTGAAGCCATCTGGACCAGGGGATTTGTCAGGGAACATATAAAAAACTGCTACTTTAACTTCCTCGCCTCGAATGGGGCCCAAGAGGTTATGATTATGCTGAACGTCTACACGACGTTGCACGCACCCAAAGACATAGTCAACCCCCCTCCGCCCGCCGTGAAAAGTTTATTAAAATAGTTTCCGACAAATTAAGACACTAAGGCCTTCCGCCACAAGCAAGAATAGATAAGGGGACAAGGGGTCCCCCTGTCGTAAACCCCTCCCTAGAGTCATCAGCTCAATCACTCCATCATCAAAAGGGATGGAATAAGATACAGAAGTGACACACTCCATGATCACCCCTATCCAATTCTCATGAAAGCTAGACTCCTCATCATCCCCTCCAGGAAGGGCCATTCAACAAGGTCATAGGCCTTACTCATATCTAACTTCAGGCCCGCCAAACCCATCTTTCCCTGGCGCCTACATTTCAAAAAATGTTGAGACTCGAAAGCCAACATAATATTATCAACAATACATCGGCCCGGAATAAAAGCACTTTGTTGTTCAGAAATGCATAAATGAAGGATATTTTTCATACGATTAGCAAACACTTTAGAGATTCAGGTT